TCCGTTCCAGTCCCTTCCACCGTCAGACCTCATGATGTCCTAAAATAGTGGTTCTCACAGTCTTGTCCCCAGAGCAGCCTCAGCAACAACACCTGGGAACTTGCTAGAAAGGCAAATTCGTGGGTCCCACCCCAGAACTCCCAGAAACTCTAGGGTGGGGCCCAGCCATCTGTGTTTTAACAAGCCCTCCAGGGGAGTCTGATGCGTGGTAATGTTTGGAAATCACTGCTCTAGATTCTAGAGTCTAGAACAACGATTCCCAGGCCAGGTGACTGCGTTATTACAATCAGCTGCCTACCTGCCACCCCAGACCTGCCAGATGAGAGTTCCCCAAGAGTGTGGCCCAAGCATCAGATTATTGGTTAGTTCTTTGAAACTCCGTAGGGGTTCTAATGATGCATGGTCATGGCCGAGAGCCCCCGAACCAGAGTAACAGCCTTTGCATTGGACATGTGTCAGGGCTATTCCCATGAACAAAACCCCGCAGAGGAGATAGTGGTAAGAACAAAGGTGTGGGCTTTACGCATCCTGTGCAAGAACACAACCAGCTCTTGCACGCTGACCACGTTGCGCCCCAGTTGCATGACTGCAGCCAGCGATGCGGCCTCTGCCTACGCAGAGGCTGTGATTCAGGGAACCGTGTGGGACGGCATCGTGCCACGGTTTCATGAGGAGCTGAAATGATTCGTGTGACATCTCCATTTGGGGAGATAAGCCTGTTTGAATCGGTAGCTCCATGGGGCAGAAGACCGTCATAGAGAGAGACAGAGATGAGAGGTCATCATTCAGAACTTTAGCCCAGTGTCTGCCGATAGGCAACTGTGGGTGGTGTTTCTCCTGGTCTCCCTCATCAGTCCGGGTAGTGACTCTAGTATGTAGGCTCCCTCAGAGGTCCAGTAAAGACTCAGAGGCCTGGGCTTGTGGAAGTAAGAAAGGGCCCGGGCCTTTGCGTTTTTATAAAGTTCCCTGGGGATTCTGATATCCGCCAAAGTTTAAGGACCACTGTAAAGTCCTTTTTTTTGTAAAGTGCCAGATAGTTACCATGTGGTCTCTGTTGCAGTTATACAACTCTGCCACTGTAGTGAGAAAGCTGCCATAGACAATGTGTTAAGTGAATGAATGTAGCTATGTTTCAATGAAACTTTATTTACAAAATCAAGTGGTGGGCCATTTGGCTCATGGGCCATAGTTTGCTAACCCCTACTCTATGCAGTAGATCCTGACCATGACGGCCTCACATTATGCAGATTGTCCTCTTAATCCTCAGATCGATCTCCTGGGTGTTCAAAACGATTTGATGTCAATCTAGCTGTGTTTGAGGGATGAAACTAACACAGGGTCCCCCTGCTACAATGCCATCTTCACTCCTTATGACCATGACTGCACAATAGAATCACTGTAAGAGGTTTTTTGTTTTCCTCCCTCCCTCCCACCCTCCCTACCTATAGCAGATGAGAAAATGAGGCTTGAGGAGGTTAAATCATTTGCCCCAAGATCATAGAGCTGATAAGCTTCATAAGAGTGTTAGTTTGTCCCCTGACACCTGCTGGGGTGGGCAGCTTTGAGAATGGCTACCAGTGATCCCTGTCACCTGGCATGCACACCCTTCGTAAGTCCCTCCCCTTGAGGGTGGGCTGGACCCAGCCACTCACCTCTAACCAGTAGAATACAGCAAAAGCTGATGGGTGTCACAGATGAGTGGATAAGCAAAACGTGGTCTATCCAAACAAAGGAATATTATCAGCCTTAACAAAGGAAGGAAATTCTGACACCTGCTACAACACGGATGAACCTTGAGGGCGTAACGCTAAGTGAAAGCAGCCAGCCACGAAAGGACTGTTTTCCAGTCACATGGGGTAGCTAAAGTAGTCAAACAGAGATGGAAATAGAGTGGTGGTTGCTAGGAGTGGTGGGGGGGTGTGTCAGGGGAGTGTGGAAAGGAGTTTATTGTTTAATGGACGGGGAGTTTCAGATGGGGAAGATGAAGAAGTTCTGGAGATGGATGGTGGTGATGTGACACTACATTATAAAGGGATTTAATACTACTGAGCTGTAGATTGAGAGACAGTTTAAGCAGCAAATTTTATGTTATGTGTATTTTGCCACAATAAAAAAAATTGGGGAAAAAAGGGATGGGGTTTCACTTTCAAGATTGGGCTACAAAAAGTCTGGGATTTCCACCTTGCTTGCTCTCTCATTCTCTCTGTATTAATCAGGGTTTGCTAGAGAAACAAATAACAGGACAGATGGATAGCTGATTGATAGGTAGATGATTGACTGATTGATTGATTGATTGATTGATTTTAAAGAATTGGTTCATGCAATTGCAAAGGTTCAGTGAGTCCAAAATCTGATGGAGGAAGCCAACAGGCTGAAACCTCAGGGAAGAGTTCAAGTCTAAAGCCCATCTGCTAGCAGAACATCTTCTTTCTGTGGGCAGGTCAGTCTTTGCTCTGTTAGGGCCTTCACATAATTGGATGAGGCCCACCCATACTACAGACGTAATCAGCTTGACTCAAAATCCACCCATTTAAATGTTAATCTCACCCAATGTACACATTCAGAGAAACGTCCAGATTAAATATTTGACCAAATATCTGGGCGCCATGGTACAGCCAGGTTGACGTATCCACTTAACCATCACATTTGCCCTCCCTCATTGTAAGGGAAACCAATAACTAGGTTGTGAGCCATGTTCCAGAGAAGCCCACACAACAAGGAACTGAAGGAGGCTTCAGGCTAACAGTTATTGTGGACCTGAAACCCTCCGTCCAGTGGCTATGCGAGTGACCTTAGAAGCTGATATCCTCCCCTACTCCCTGGGTCAAGGCTGGAGATGAATCCACTCTGTGAGAGTTGGGGCACCCAGCTGCACTGAGCCCAGATTCCTGACGCATAGAAACTCTGAGATAGTAAGTGTTTGTTGTCCGCAGCTGCTAAATTTTAGGATCACTTGTTACACAGCAATAGATAGCTAACACATTCGCAGTACTGCTTAAGCTGGTTCTGAGATTTTTCCCGAATATTTCATCTTAACTGTGGGTGTGTGCCCTGGGTCTCCAGTAGAGAGACTGATCTGTGACCCATCCAACATTCGAACGGATTGACTCGGTGAAATTTTTAGTGCTCTCCCTTCCCATCTCCATTCTTACTGTGGACAGTTTTAATCCAGTTCCCAGATGGGAAACTGAGTTTGAAGTGGCCTGTCCAGAATCCTGGAACCGCGTGCCTCCCAGGACTGGAGTTCACATTTACAGCTCTATAGCCCCATGGATTGACTATTCCCATGTCAAAAACACAGCTTTCCTTCAGTCAAGGCCCTTCGGCAAGGAGGACTTGATCAAATTCCATATTGAAGCAGAGACTTATTGCATCTGGGGAAGGAATTCATTCCGCTGAGCCCTCCGCAGTGGGGCCCTCACGGTAGGCAGTCCATCCATGTTAATAAATGTCTCACCTACCAGACAGCTTCAATAAGGTGAACCGCCAAGGGGAGGTCACGCTTGCCAGTTTAGTTTTACTAAGACATGGAGGGCCCGTCTGATGAGGCTCTGGAATTTAGCTGTTGTCCTGAAGGAAAGACAGACTGGCAGCAGCTTCCCAAAGACCTGGCCCCCTCCCTTCCCAGACACGCTCTTATTCTGTTTCCACTCTTAACGGCTAGAGACCGCTGGAGTCACGCCGCCCTGTGTGTGTGTGTGTGTGTGTGTGTGTGTGTGTGCGCGTGTGTGCGTGTGTGCGTGCCACACGTGTGTATTATTAGATATAATATGCGTACAGCTTTTCTATTTTTAACAATGCTTCCCTAGCAGCTGTCTCATTTGTTGTCCCAATAAACTGTAGGGATTACTCCTCCATTTTACAGGTGGGTATCACTGAGTGTCAGAAGTGACCTGCTTCCCTTGGGTTACACTGTTATTGAGGGGTGCCCCCCGCCCCGCTCACCACTTAGGGGTGCTAATCCTCCAGGGACTGTGTTTTCTTTTTGGACACAGTATTCCTTTGCATCATCTTCCCTAAGGAAATCTTAGGGTCCAAGGGTTCCCTACAGTTTCTCAGAGCTTCAGATTTTCACGAAAGGAAGTAAGTAGCAGAACACCCCAAGCTTGTAGCGGGAAATGGAAAGAAAAGCAGAGCAGAATTTGACAATCAGAGAGATTATAAAAATCATGTGGGATCAGCCCCTTCACTTGACAAATGAAGAGACAGAGATGTGTATGGGAAGGTGAGTCAGGCAGGTTAAGATTGAACTGTGGTCCCGGACCCCAGCTGTGGCCACAACACCGTCCTTCCGCACAGACACAGACGGGAGGTTTCAATGGCCCTGAAGGATCTGCCTAAGCACCTGCGTCTTCCTGTTCCCTCCTCCCCACGTGGAGGCTCCCCTGAAACTCTGAGAGCCAGGTTTGCTCAGCTTGACTCATGGTCAGCTTTGAGCTTACTCTGGGGCCCGGCCTTGATGAACTTCCCTTCCCTTCCGGGACTGGCCCTCTCTGCTCCCCCCTCCCCCGGATTCCCAGAGGCCTTCACCTGCCAGTTAGGTGCCCTCTTCTTCCTCTGGCCGTCTTCCCCTTAGTTCACTCTGCCGGGCCATGAGTCATGGCGCCTCTCCTTCAAAGAGGAAAAAGATTGATGGCAGAGGAAAAGGCCAGTGAAGATCCCCCCCCCCCACCCCGGCCCCCGCTCCTCTGGCTCCAGCAGGAAAAGTGCCTCTTACGGGTGGGTTTATGAAGTGGCCACATCTCCCCCTTCCAGATAAAGCCTGGCAGAGACTCGCCCACCCACAGTCCATGTTTCCTCTCGGTAGCCAGTTCCAGGGCAAGATTCTCCAAGGCGGGTGTGCAAATAGGACCACCAGCGGGGAGCAGCGGCTACTTTTTCAGACGGAGAGAGGTCTAGACAACCACGCAGACGTCCCCTGGTCTTCCAGTCCCGCCTGAATTCTGAGAGCGCCTCAGTGGGATTAAGGGGAGATCTGCCTTTTTTGTTTTCAATTACAGGTCAAATCCTGCTCCAAGAAAATGGAATATTTCTGCACCATGAGAACATCGCTCTGGGTTTTTTTCCTTAGGTGATCACCACCGCCTGAAGTGAGTATTGCCAAATAAGGTACAGGATCCCCAGGTAAATTCAAATTCCAGATGAATAACCAGTAATTTTTTTTTTTTAGTGTAAGTATATCCCAAATATGACATGGGACACACTTATACGAAAACACGCATTCCTTGCTGTTCTGGTTGCCAAATCTGACAGCCCTACCCGAAGAGCCATTTCTCTTGTCTCTCTTTGGTCTAAGTTCTGAGGATGAATTTAAAAGCACTTTGGGGCGACAGATTTCCTGAGGTCAGGAACTGGGCATGCTTCTTTGTATTTCCTCCTTCGCTATGAGCCCCAGGGCCCTGCTTCTCCTGCCTGTGCATGGAAGGCCCTGGGAGCCAGCATGGTCAGGTTGATGGCATTGCCTGGAGGAGGCAAAAGGGGGAAGAGCAGTGATTCTCAACTGGGGGTGATTTTGCCCCCAAGGGTCATTTGGCCATGTCTACAGATATTTTCTGATTGTCACCACCGGGTGGGGGATGCTATTGGCATCTTGTGGGTAAAAGCCAGGGATGCTGCTGAACATCCTACAGTGCACACACACGCAAAATCACACACACATGCACACGCACCAATGATCTGGTCCCAAATGTAAATAGTGCTGCAGCTGAGAAACTCCAAAGTGAAGGAGAAACCAGTTTTAAAGTAAAGGGCTTGAGGAAGCTCTACGCCCAACGTGGGGCTTGAACTCACGACCCTGAGATCAGAGTTGCATGCTCCACTTAAAATAATAATTGGGGTGCCTGGTTGGCTCAGTCAGTTAAGTGTCCGACTCTTGATTTTGGCTCAGGTCATGACATCATAGTTCGTGAGGTCAAGCCCCTCATTAGCTCTGTGCTGACAGTGCAGAGCCTGCTTGGGATTCTCCCTTTCCCTCCCTCTCTGCCCTCCCATGTGCTCTCTCTCTCTCTCTCTCTCTCTCTAAATAAACAAATAAACTTAAAATTTTTTAAAATAATAATAATAAAATAGAGGGCCTGAGGTTTAAATATAAACATTCAGCCTATAAGTAACCTTAGGTCCCTGGGCAGCGTCATCAAGAATTGGAGAGCTAGCCTGGGACCTGTAATCCCACTCCCTCCTCCACTCAGTGCCCTGAGGCTGTAAGACCCATGATGTCCCCTTCAAGGCTAGCCTGGGTTCATTTTAACCACCTTTCATGCATGGAAGGATGCTGGGAGATGGGCAGTCTACACAACGTGGGGCTGAGCCCTCCTCTCCAGCTTCCTGCCCTTTCTGGCCACCATCCCTCCCTGACGGGAGTCATTTAAGGCTCTGTTCTGATTCCTGCAACACCTTTCCGATGTGCCAAGGAAAGTTCCTTATGCCTGGCTGGAGGCTGAAGGTGAGATGTCCTCTTGCTTGCTGCCCAGTGGGAAACTGGAAAGCCCTCAAGAGGCACAAATATCGGGCCTGGCCTACTCCCGGAGCCCACCTCTTTCCCAGTCCCCAACGCCAGAGTCCCCAGGCAAGATACTCCCAAAGTCAGGATTTATTCCGGACTGGAAGTTATCCTAGCAAAGAAGAAAGGCTCACCTTCTACAAATTAAATCAATTTTCAGTAGCTTCTGGTTCAGGGCGGTTTCCAAGGTCAGCCCTCCTGTGTGCCTGTTCATCCCCGTTTTATTCTCATGTAGCCCTCAGCAGAGATGACCAAGGTCTGAGCCTTCACACTCAGCAGCTTGCTAGCCTGCCAAGGATGGAAATACTGAAAACTCCCCACCTGCTTCTCTAAGAGCCCCCCATGTGGTGTGGGTGAGCAAAATCCAGTCCTTTCCTTAGAATGCAAAACCAAACCAAAACAAAAAACAAACAAACAAACAAAAACCAAACCAGAACAACAACGAAAAGAAAAACCTTTTTTAAAAAAGGAAAACCAAAAACCAAACACACAAGAAAATAGGGACAAAACAAAAGGCAAAAATAAGCAACCCCAAAGGCAGGGGGACTTTGCTTTGTCAGTAAAATCCTATGATATATAACTTTGCACTTGTTTTTGGAACTCGGAGAGTGAGAAACTGTTCTCATCTTACAAATTAGATTTCCCACAGCCTCCTACTTCTTCACCTATCGCTGGACAAACAAAATACTTTATTTTATGTGACTTGTGACTTTCCCCTCTACCAAGCACGTGAGCCGGCGGCCGCCTGTTGGACTGCAGCGGTGAAACTCGGAGCAGCCCGCACCCCTCCCTCCTCTGACCCTTTCTCCGTCTACCCCTCACTCTGCCCCCCTCACCCCCCCACTCCGCCCTCGCCAAAAGATTTATAGAGCAGAGTGGCTTGAGAACAAATGAGCAGACATTAGGCTGATGTGTTCTGCATACTAATGACAAGATACTGCTTCTGTACCTAGGGGCAAAGCCAGGTCAGGCCAGTTTAACCATAAACTTTATTTATGGGCTTATAACCTGCAGCTGCAGTACTTAAGCTCAATCTTGGGACTGAGATCTGTCTCTCTCTATAGATTCATGCATATCGCTTCAAACACATTTGGGGGATGGGGGCGAGCTTCCTTCGGGATCTCCTGAGCAGTTCCAGTACGAAGTTTAAACCGAAGGGAAATGTGAGTTAGACCAAAAGAACAAACAATCGTAGCGGTAATGGTAGTACCAACAACAGCGATACTAATACCTACCATAAAATAACGATTTCTCTCTCAGAGCTCCTGGAGGAAGAATCTGCTCGATTACTCTAAGTTTTTTCACAAGTTCATGTTTAGAGTGACTCATCTGGAATCCTGAATCACAGACGGAACCAATCGCCTGCTTTGAAGTGACTCAAGACCCTTCCTTCCTGCAGAGAATATTCTTAGTTGGACTGCCTTAATGCATCAGCGGGCTGGTCCCTCCAGTCGAGAGGGTGCGAGGCTCTGAGCTCGGCGACCGCTGGCTGTCCCCACCTTCCGCCCTCACCAGGCCCCTCCTGCATTCTGATTCAGTGTTCTGACCACGTCGGCCCAAGTTCTGTTGTTAACGACCACGTTAGTGCTCCTCGACTCCAGGAGAGAGAAGGTGTAGAAAGTCTCGGTCATTCGATAAAGATGTATTGGTCACCTGCTGTGTGCCAGACCCTGTGCTTGGTGTCAGGGATACCACAGTGAACCAGGCGCGGTAAGCTCCTTCCTGCGCGGAGCCCAGCGGATGTAGACAAGCCACTCCCACTGCTGAATACATTTCAGAGTATTTGCTGGTCCCGTTCTGGTTTCCGACCCATTATTTGTAAAGCGTGTCTATCCTTTGAATCGTAAGATAAACAGGATTGGATGGGTGGTTGGATGTCAGGACCCTGGGGGCTTGGGTCATAATCCCTGCCCATCCTCAGAGTGGCTAATCCATTTCACCCACTTGCACTTCAGCCTGCCTTTCAGAAAACATCCAAGACGCTGTGGGTGAAAAGAGGGAAGAGCCCGTGAACACCTGTGGCCGTCAACCAAAGCTTAGGAAACACACGGTCACCCTCTGGCACTATTGCTTTTCTCTTAGTAGGAGCTCACCTGTCAGCCCTGCTTCCTCTGAGGTGGGAAGTTTGATGAGGCCATTCCTTGAGATTTGCTCACACCAAAATATTCCCCTCTGGGGAAGGACCCTGGCCAACCTGTTGTGAGATGCCAAAAACTGTTCTGTCAATACAGGCTCTCGTTCCAGGTGGCTTGGGTGCTCAGCTGTTGCTTAGTGCTGAAGGAAGGTAGTGAAAGATTTTCCATTGGTTCTTTTAGGGAGTCTACCCTCATTTTCATCCCCCTCTTCCTTGTTTAGCCCCTGGAAGTGGTAGATGTCTCTTTGGTTGGAAGACACTAGAGGGCCACAGGGGTGTGGGAGGATGAGAAGAGGGTGGCTGGTTTGTGTGTACCTTGGGGATGGGTGAGGCAGTGGGTTGGTGCCACAGAGCTTTGGAGTTGGACCAGATTCACTTGCCTCTTGCTAAGAGATCCACGGAAGATGCCTTGGCCATTGCATTGGGAAGATGTCGGCTGAGCCTACGTGCTTTCTGTGCTGAAGGAAACAAAGCAGCTAGGCTGGAGTGGGAACAGAGTTTGCAGATGCTCCACAAGCAAAAGGTGGCCTGGATCATCTCTGGTTCTTGGAAAGGGAGCCGCTTTGTTTTGCCGGTCACAAGAGAAGGAAATTACCAAGCACCTCTGGGAGAAGCCATCTCATTTTGAAGCTCCAGGAGAGGAAAAGGAGACTCTCACCATTGCCTGCCCGGTGCCCTGGGGACTGCAGATTTCACATGGACAGAGACAAAAGGTTAGCACGTGAAAGCTTTGGGGATATGTGGAAAGAGGAGGGAGCTGTAGGCTAGTGGGCAGTCCTTGGCTTACTAGCTGCATGACTTTGGACAAATCATTTATCTGAACCTCAGAAGGCAAAGATTTAAGATGGGTACAATAACAATTCCTGTGCTAGGTACTTTGCAAAGTAGATGTATTTGTAAAGTCTATGTAAACTGTAAAGGACTATAAAAATGTTAGTTTTGTTGTTGTTGTTTCATGACGAATCGGACAATGGAAATCAGATACTGTTGAGGATTTGTTATATACATGAATGAACAAACAACTGGAGAGTTTGAAGTCCACACAGTTTAATCATATTGAGTCAATGCCTATATATATATATATATATATATATATATATATCTATGCAGTAATGATCACTTGTTTAAATGTGCTTTTTAATGGTTTCATTGGCTCTCCACGTGGGGATAGGTGTACCTGCATGCATGCTAGACTCCCCAGGACAGCATGAGGTTCCTGTGGGCAGAAAGCAGATCTCTCCCTTTGCCGATGTTCCTTCAGTGCCTGCTATGAAGGGCTGTGCTCTCAGCTGGAAGTCACTCCTTGTTTTACCAATCAATTGACTAGGAGTAGGTACGGGCTTTCATGGGCGCAGAAATATGTCTGCTAATTTCTTAATGTCTATGTGGGACATAAGCATAATGTCTATGCTTGTGAGATCCCTGGAGTTGGCATCTATAGATATTGGCTGTATGAT